TGCCCCCTTAATGCCTCCTCCTCTGTGGTAGTTACTGTTCTCCTCTTCTCTGATGCTGAGGCTGCTGTCTAAGTGTCTTCTACACAGTGGTGTTTTATCACTGCTGCCACCTACTATAACTGGCCCACTGCAGTGCCTAGCCAATTCCCCCACGTGTCTACAGATTACTGACTCCTTCACCTTGGGTGACATGCACCTGCCAGGTCATGTCTTCACTGGCATGACAACATTGCTTTGGTGGCATGGTAATCTACATCAAGATAATACTCCTATACAACTGACCAAAAACCTGCTGGCTGAAGCAGTCCTTGCTGCTGCCTCTGTGTCAGCCACTGCCTGGAAGGATGTTGCTAAAACCTCCCAACTTCCTTTAGCCAATAAGCTGAGGAGCTGCAAAAGGCCCTTGTGATGTCACTGTTACACCCGCCCCTGCCCTGCTGGGCTCATGTCCTGCCCCTGGCAGCCCCTTTGCATGGCTGAGCTGATCCCAGGGTGAAAGTAACACATTTCTTACAGGTACTGTTGTATCTCACACTTCCTTGGGCAGGGAGAGGTTTAATGCTAGAGATGGCGGAATGAGGGAGGGTGATAGACCAATACCTGTAAGAAATTGAAGTGTGAAGTGCATATGGGTTTGAGGGGACTCGGCAGATGCTGAGGATGTGGGAGGGCACATCTTCCCCAGCCACTGTGACTGTAGAATTGGCCTGGAGGGTTGGGTGGAGTGCAGCAAACATTGATCATATGCATTGTAAACCCCTTGGTCTCAGGGTTTGGATTGGAGTCCCCTAGCGAGAGCCCTGAGTCCTTCGATTTGGTTCCTTCCTCAGAGCACCCTCTCTCAGTTTCTACCTCAGAAATACTCTTGTCTCTCTGGGTGTGTCTAAACTACATGGCTCCCTCGATGGATCCATGTAGATTAGGCTGATTGGCAGAGGGAAATGAATAAGACGGGTTTAAATTTAAATGGCTGCCACGCTCTGCCGACCAGCTGATGATCAGCTATTTGTCGGCAGATCGGGGCAGTCTGGACGCGCCGCTGTCGACAAGGAAGCCTTTGTCGACTGGCGCAGGTAAACCTTGTTTCATGAGGCATACCTGCGCTGGTCGACAAAGGCTTCCTTGTTGACAGTGGCGCATCCAGACTGCCCCGATCTGCCGACAAACAGCTGATCATCAGCTGGTCCGCAGAGCGCGGCAGCCATTTTAAATTAAATGAAGCCGCGATTATTTAAATCGCGGCTTCATTTCCCTCTGCGGATCAGTCTAATCTACATGGCTCTGTCGATGGAGCCATATAGTTTAGACACACCCTATGAAACAAAAGACAGAACTATGTAGCACTTTAAAGTAACAAGATGGTTTATTAGGTGATGAGCTTTTGTGGGCCAGACCCACTTCCTTAGATCAATATGTGGAAGAAAATCAGCACAACCATATATACCAAAGTGATACAATAAAAAAAGTGAACACGTGAAATTGACAAATCATATTTTAGAACAGAGTGGGGATGAGGGGCAAAGGTAAGTTTCTGTGAGGTAATGACATTAGGGGTGATAATTGGGGAAGCTATCTTTGTAATGGGTGAGATAATTAGAGTCTTTGTTTAAACCCATACATAAAGTGTCAAATTTAAGCATGAATGACAATTCTGAAGCTTCTCGTTGAAGTCTGGAGTTAAAGTCTCTTTGAAGCAATATGCATGTTTTAAGGTCATTGAGGGAATGGTCAGTTTGGCTGAAATGGCAAGCAACAGCTTTCTCTCTGTGAGAGAGTCTTATTATCTCACAGACACTAACCTTCCCCCCTCACCCCTACTCTGTTCTAAAATTTGATTTGTCAATTTCACATGCGTTCATTTTTTTGATTGTATCACTTCGGTATATATGGTTGTGCCGATTTTCTTCCACATATTGATGTGAGGAAGTGGGTCTGGCCCATGAAAGCTCATCACCTAATAAACCATCTTGTTAGTCTTTAAAGTGCTACATAGTTCTGTCTTTTGTTTCATCCCAACCTTAGGGTTGTGATATCTCCTCACACCATCTCCCTACTCCATCAGACCTTCCCTCTGTGGCTGGCCCCTGGATCCTGTTCCAGTATAGGTTGTAGTTTATTGATAATGCGTTGGACGGGTTTAAGTTGGGGGCTATAGGTGATAACAAGTGGTGTTCTATTGTTGGTTTTCCTGGGTCTGTCTTGAAGTAGATGGTTTCTGGGTATTCGTTTGGCTCTTTCGATTTTTTTTTTCTCCATGTGGGTAATTGAGGTTTATAAATGCTTGGTAGAGATCCTGAAGTTTCTGGTCTCTGTCAGTGCGATTAGAGCAGATGCAATTGTATCTAAGGGCTTGGCTATAGACGATGGATCGTATGATGTGTTCTGGATGGGAGCTGGAGGCATGTAGGTAACTGTAGGAGTCAGTCTCTATGGTTCTTTTCCTGTGAAGGGCTCTTGGTGAAGCCTTTGAACTCCCACTGCAGGTATTGACTGACTAGAGCCAGAGAGATGCCAAGCAGAACTCTCCGGTTCCTGCAGGCACCATGTTCTCAGGGACCCTGCTAGAGGGAAAAGCCTTGGGGAAAGACCCTTCTGTTCCCATCTGGTGGCTACAGAACTTAGTGCTCTGCATTGTGGCTGTAATTGTCTCCTTTGCCTTTGATGTGTAAAAGGGAAGTCAAATCCCCCGGAGCCATTGATTCCCCTATGAGGGGCACGTACAATATACATACATTGCTAATGCTTAGATATATTTGCTATTTGTATAGGAGTAAGACATGACAAAGGTCAAGGCCTGTCACAGGTAATAACTTATAATAAGGAGACGAGGGGAAGTGAAACCAGTCTTCTGTTAAGTAGAGAGATGGATAGATTCCACATCCTTTAAACTTGTGACCGGCTCAAGCAGGAAAGGAAAAAGGGAAGTATGGCTCGCCCATTGTTCAGCAAAAGTGAATGAATGTAACTCAGCTGTAACCGCAAAGTCAGCAAGTAGGCACTGTATTTAACCTCATTTGGAAAATTAACCTGACCTATAGGAATGCTAAATGTCAAAGATGAAGTAACCTATCATGTTAAGGCACCTAAACCAGGAAGGATGTTAACCCTATAAGAACCCCTGCATATGAGATGTTGGGGGTCGGCTCTGCTTTGAACATTGAGTTCCTTAGCCGTACCTTGGTTGCAACCAATAAACTTGAGTTGGACCCAGCCTGAAAGTGTGACTCTCTTCTTGGGGTAAATCAGACTAGCCTCCAAGGGGACGAAACCAGCAATTTATGCAACACCTTGTCTCCAGATTTCTTATGTTCCTCCATATGACACTTTTCAGAAGAAGCAGCCAGTCTCATTTGCAAACATTCGCATGGCCAGGCCTGGGCAGCTTCCTCAAAAGATTGACCAGGGTGTGGGAGAAGCAACCACATTCAGCCCAGCACCTCTTGGTGACACATCACTCACCTCCACTGGTCCTGGAAGGTGCCTTGGCCAGGAGCAAACAATGGGGGACCTCAAACTCCTGCAGCCTGGGCCATAGAGTTAAGTAGGCAGCACCCACAAGCTGTGGCTTAAACACAGGCCTCGTGGCTAGCAGGATTTGAACCCACACAGGGAAACACTATTGGATTTCTAATCCAACACCTTAACCACTCAGCCATCACAGCTGTGAGCCTGGCACTGCTCCCGTCCCAAGGCCTGAGGAAGTGAAACAGAGCCCAGATTTGAGGTCATCTGCCCGTCACCCCAGCCATATGGCGCCCCTCACTCCTGACCCACAGAGGCCAAGAAACACTTGCAGGAAAAAATCATTGGAACCTATAGTGTTTCTAGGGTAGAAACTGGGAGACTAGTTCTGAGACCTGCTGGCAGGAAGCTGACCCAATGGAACAAGGCTCTTGTCTCTAGTTGCCTCCCAGTCTGGCTGCTCTGTTGTCAATTCTATGCCCTCAGGAAGTGACCAAATCAAAGCAGCCAGGGCCCCCACCTGGGTATCAAGCCCAAACCCAGAGACTAACAGCCTTGAGCTCCAGATTATCAGGCTGTGTCTACATTGGCAAGATTTGGCGCAAAAGTGGCTGCTTTTGCGCAAAATCTTGCCACCTGTCTACACTGGCTGCGAGTACTTGTGCAAGAACATTGACGTTCTAATGTAGGAAATCAGTGCTTCTTGCACAAATACTCTGACGCTCCCACTCAGGGATAAGACCTCTTGTGCAAGAGGCCAGTGTAGACAGCAATGTTAATTTCTTATGCAAGAAAGCCCGATGGCTAAAATGGCCATCAGAGCTTTCTTGCACAAGAGAGCGTCTACACTGGCATGGATGCTTTTGCGCAAAAGCACATCTCTTGTGCAAAAGCACATGCCAGTGTAGACGTGCTCTTGCACACATACTTTAACGCAAAAACTCTTGTGTTAAAAGTATTTGCGCAAAATCATGCCAGTATAGACGTAGCCTCAGTGTTTGCTGCACTTCTTCTTTTTCTCTCCTCCCCCTTCCCCTCACATCTGCCAAACCCCAAGCAAGGCAACTTTCTCTTGGGCAGGGGTAGGCAATAATTTTTGATGTGGGGAGGCACTCCCAAGATTTTGGAAGTGGTAAAGGGCCACACTTTTCCATGGTATTAATCAAGGATATGTAGGGTCTGTGATGGAGGTTGGATGCAGAAGGAAGCTTGGGGTAAAGGATTGGGGTGCAGGAGGGAGAATGGAGTCTGAGAGGGAGCTTGGGTGAAGGAGGTGGTTGTGACATAGGGTAGGGAACTGGGGTGCAAGGTTGTGGGATGTGACTTGGGGATTGGAGGGGATTGATCTTGGGCAGGAAATTGAGGTGCCAAATCTGGGAGGGGGTATGGGTGCATGTAGACTTGCAGGGCTTTGTTTCTGGCTGCTGGGCCATGCGCTTGAGTGAGTGAACAGGAGGGTTGTGCTTTGTGGCTGCCTGTTATTCGAACAGGCAGCTCCCATTGGCCAATGTCTCTCCAGACTGGGGGCGGGAGCAGCATCTGACTCTCCTCCTCTTACCCCGAACCCAAAGAGAAAGTGCCATGCAGCCACATTTCTGAGCGGGGAGTGGAGCTACTGGGCAAGCAGGGGAGCTTAGTGAGCCGAATCTGGTGCACAGATGATATTTTGCCCAGACCTACTCTTGGGGAAATGGAACGTACCTGTCCAGATGCTCTGAATGCCCAGTTTCTGCAGGTCTTGGGATTCCCTCCAACTTCTCTTGCCACAACTCTAAGAGAAACCCTAAGCAAGTGTCAGGTAATATCAGGGGAGACATGGAAATGAGGGCAATCTTCTGCATAGAAGACAGAACCTGTTCCAGGAGTGGAATTTCAACCCATCCCAGCCTACTAAGACCAGAACACCCAAGTGAGTGAAAAACAGAACCTTGAATCGTGTGCTTTATTTCACTCAGCCACCCTGATGCTGACATGGGTGCGCTCAACTGTAGTTTTCTTACATGTGTGAGTTGCTCAGGGATCAGCATTGCCAACCATCAGTAAATTTACAGACAGTCCATAAAAAAATTAGTTGAAATTGGGTATGTCCGTAAAGTCTGTATAAAAATGTAGGTGTCCATAAATTTCATAAAAGTGCAATAAAATTTCAAAAAACAGCAATTATTCTATAGCAATTAAATTTCTTCTGTGCTGCTTCAGCCATTTTATTGCGGAGCAGTGAAAATTGGATGTTTTAGTTGTTTAGTTGTCAGTGTTTGGATGTATGATCACAAAATGGAAAACTTCCAGGACCATGACTGACTAAATGAAAGTGAATTAAATAGCATATTGATCTTGTGATGTGTGAATGACAATGATTACTTTTCACTTTTGGCCATTTATGTTGTCTTAATATAGTATAAAAATTATGTCTGTAAAAAATTTTGTTTGTCCATAAATTTTTCCCATTTTGTCCATAAATGAAATTTCTGTGGGTTGGCAACCCTGCCTGGGGTGAAAGATTGACTACTTTACTACTCACCTAAGGATACAGCTTTGCCCCTCCCCCATGCTGTTCTGCACAACACTGATTGGCTCAGAGAGTGCCACTCAAACACAATCACTTGGCTCCCTGGCATGCACTGAGTGACTAAGCAGATGTGTGAGAGGGGCCTGATGATATCACAACTTAAGGGCCGGTCACCCACCATGAGCTCTGTCCATGTGCACAGCAGACAGGGAGCTGAGCATGAGCCAGGGCACGGCAGGACTGTGTATGGCCCTGTGTCTGTGGGTGCCCAGCCAGGCCATAGAGGGCTGTGAAATATGAGACTGAAGGAACTGTTCAATGTGTGCTTTAACTTCACACCTTTAGCGTCACACTGAGCAGACCAGTGCTTCTCAGAGTGGTCCACAGGTCCCCAATCCAGTGCCCTTGGATGTCTTCACTGATTAGTGAATTAGATTTAGGGCTGTGCGTGCCATGGTTGCTGTGGGTTTGGTTGGTAACTTTAATGACAATCACATGAAGATATTTTTACAGGAATTTTCTCAGCTTCAAAGACGATCTCCATCTGCAAACTCACCGGCTACATCTAGACTGGCATAATTTTCCGCAAATGATTTTAACGGAAAAGTTTTCCATTAAAAGCATTTGCGGAAAAGAGCGTCTAGATTGTCACGGATGCTTTTCTGCAAAAGCACTTTTTGCGGAAAAGTGTCCATGCCAATCTAGACACGCTTTTGCGCAAAAAAGCCCCAGTTGCCATTTTCGCAGTCGGGGCTTTTTTGTGCAAAACAAATCTGAGCTATCTACACTGGCCCTTTTGCGCAAAAGCTTTGCACAAAAGGACTTTTGCCTGAACAGGAGCAACATAGTATTTCCGCAAGAAGCACTGATTTCTTACATGAGATTGGCAGTGTTCTTGTGGAAATTCAAGTGGCTAGTGTAGACAGCTAGCAAGTTTTTCCGCAAAAGCAGCTGCTTTTGCGGAAAAACTTGCTAGTCTAGACACAGCCACCCTGTCTGAAAGCTCCCAGGATTTTTCTCTTGTTCTCTCCAGTACAGAGAGCGGAGCGTCTGGTGGGGAAAAGGATAAGAGAGGTGAGATTCCAAGCTCTCCTATTTATAACAATGTCCCCACTCTGACCTCTGCATTTTAATCATATCTGGAGTGATTAAGTGGAATTTTAAAATATTTCCCTAGTGTAGACATGCCTTTGGTGAGTTTGTGGTTTGAAAATCCCTCCTTTGTTCTGAGTTTCAGTTGCTTGGAAATG